AATTAATGGTTTAAATATCGTATATTTTGATTTCTATAACCAGAATAATGATTTTCTTTACTAGAAATGACATAACCATATGTGGTACGGAAATTTTAACAGAATTTTTTTATCCGTTATTCTTACAATATACTTAATAATTAAAAGTTCATGCCTCAATATATGATGGTATAGGCGCATTGCTCATAGCATTAAGTGCATTAGTCGGTTTTTAATGAAGAAAAAATAAAGCAGATTTTTTATGTACTTATCTAATAAACTAAAGAGCATTGGGTTTCTTCAGCAAGTTCTACGATACGAAGCTAGACCTATGAATTAATCTGAAAAGCATATCGCATTGTACTTTTGTTTTATTTAATTCACCAAGCTCATTAAAAGCGTTTTAATCCCTGATTAGAGATTAGGAAACATAATCATTTCTGCACGATGGTTATTTCAGGAAAAGTTAAAGATATATTGACCTCTTAGATCAATATACCTTTTTTAGCCATTAAATAAATGAGGCATAGTCTATAATCATGCTTTCTTCTATTTTAGTTCTCTGATCTTAATCTAAATCACGTTGAATTTATTATTTAATTTATTCACCGAATACATTTGAAACATTCCTAAGCTTTATATTCCCTGATCAACAATCAGAAAAAACTTATCAAATCTGCATTTTGATTATTTTAAGAAAGGCTTAGGATATATTGACTTCTCTGATCAATATAGTTTTTTAGCCAATAAATTAATGAGGTACGGAATTTCTAGCTTTGTCATAGTAGGAAAATACAAGTACATACATGGTTTGTTTTTATTGTACGTACAATAAAATAATAACCACGGGACATGTAATATGCATTTAGTCTATTTCATCCTTTCCATGTTCATCAATTATTCTGCTTAAGTTCGCTGAATATGTATGCAAGGAGGCATAATGATAGCACAGAAAAAGGTTAGATGATGTGAAAAAGAAATTAAAAAAAATAATAATATTCGTAGCAGTTTTATTTTACGTGGAAATATTCTTTATTGCTTTTAGTAGACTCTCAATGTTTCATAAAAACGCATTGCTAAAACTATTCAACTCAAATCTTTTTTTTTTTAACTTTGTGCACCGAAAGCTAGTTTTGGGCAACGCTTTCTTCGCTTATACTAGTTAAATGCTGCTGACAGATATGAATTGACATAAGAAGAAATTATATAGCGAAGCGTTTTTTTTTAATTTTATTTTCACAAAAAAGTGAGCAAATTTTATTTTCAGGAATCTCAGCTCGTTCTTAAACATGCATAAATAAGCTATTGTTGTTTTGGAAGCTTTGCTTCATTTTTTTAGGGAACTTTCCTTTATCAATGCAACTTTTTATTCTATACCTTTTTTGGTAGTTAAGCCTTTTTCTTATTTTAAGCACTAATATTTAAAAAGGATAATTAATTAATATTTAAATATTGTTCAGAAATAAATATTGTTAATATTATTCAATATTAAGTAATATAATGTAAAATAAGTAATGTAATATAATATAATATAATATAATATAATATAATATAACATAATATAACATAACATAACATAACATAACATAACATAACATAACATAACATAACATAACATANTATAGTATAGTATAGTATAGTATAGTATTATATAGTATAGTATAGTATAGTATAGTATAGTATAGTATAGTATAGTATAGTATAATATAATATAATATAATATAATATAATATAATATAATATAATATAAAGTAACAATTTATTTAAAGTTTTTATTTTTTTATTAACTTAAGTGTTTCATAAAGAGTTTTTAGATATTAAAATTGGTAAAAACTGCATTTTAAATAAAATTTAAAGGAGGTCTTTCTTTCATTTCAAAACCCATTCAAACACAAAAGTAAACAATAAAATATTAGGAGTTCTGAAAATATATTGCAGATTATTTTTTTAAACTATTATCTTTACAACGATGCAATATATCATCTAAAAGAATGATTTTTCATAGATATAGATATATTTAAAGATATAGATTTTCATAGATATAGATATAGATATGTTTAAAGCCTTTATTTCAATTATATTACTCTGCTTAAATACACTGTCTTTAAATACAAGAAATATGAGTAATAGTATGTGCAAAAATGTGTAGTATGTTTTGCAATGCATTGATTTTATTATCATATTTGTTTTCACATGCAATAAATTGTAAATTAAAAATGTATTTTTAATTGTATTAAATAATAATTACTTCACTTATAATTACAATTTCTTATGGAAACCACAATAAATACGCTTTTAATTGTAAATTTTAACATCGTTAGAAGATGGATCATTAGAAAAATGACTGTGACAAATTTCTGAATAAAAAAAACGAGTTTGAGTGTCAAAAGAAAAAAAAACAAGACAGGAATATTTTCTTATTTTAAAAAACAATGCAAAATGGTATGACCTCATTCAAACCCTATCACAAAACTGTAAATTAGTTTATCCTAAAAAAAGTAATATTTCTTTCTCTTGCTCTGAGCATTTATGGAAAATCAGAATGAGTTTTTAAATGTTTCATCTTTTAGTTAAATCACTGTGATGTCACGTTGGAGAACTACGAACTTAAAAAAAATATATAATGACAGTGTTTTTTTAAAGAAATGAAATTAATGTTTTCAAAAAAACTTACATTGATAGGGATAGAAAATTCCAAAAATTTTAAAATAAAAAAATTCTAGAATGCGTCAGAGCAGAATACGTCATGAAGCACAAAAATTTTTTTTAAAAAAATTATACTAACGATTGTGTTATAATAAAGATGTGTAAAAATTTTGTAACTCTATACTTCTACTTTCTAAAAACTTCCGGATCAAATTACAGTAAAAAGTATTAGCACCCAGGGTGCATTACTAGTGAAGTCCCTCTTACAATAAATCTATTTTTACCACAATTTTTACAGCAATATTTATTCAATTACAGTGATTCAGTTATTTTACAGTAAATATTACTAAGCAAAAATTATGGTGTATCAGACTTTTTGTTCGATAAATTTTATTGTAATTTGATCCGGAATATTTTACAATGTACCTCTAAAAAACTTAGACTTTTTTATTAATTTCTTAATTAATTTATATATTAACTTCAAAGATTATGTTATTTTTTCAAGAAATGATTTAGTCTAGAGACTACCAAAATCGAATTTATAAAAAGATAATTATTATTGTACTTATTAACTATTTTCTGTAAAAAAGTTTTTTTTTGCTTGCGCTTTTTCTTCCCGAGAAGCGTCTACTTTTTAAACTCTTCGTTGATTTATAGTATCAATGCCTCAAATTATGGTATAAAGTTCTAGCACCCTAAGTTCTATCATCCGTAAAGTCAATTTTACCGTAAATGTTTTTTACCCGTAAATTTTCTACCATAATTTTTACAGTAATATTTATTTCATTGCAGTGTTTCAATGATTTTACTGTAAATATTACAGCACAAAAATTACGGTATATCGGATTTTTGTTCCGTAAAATTTTACTGCAATCCGGAATTTTTTACTGTGTACCTCTAAAACCCTTTTACGTTATCATGATTTTTTAATTAATTCGTATATTTTTTATTAATTTCAGAGATACTGTTGTTTTTTTTTTTTTTTTTNAAAAAAAATTTTTTTTTTTTTTTTTTTTTTTTTGGAGATGATTTGGTCTAGAGGCTCTACCAAAATCGAATTTTTAAAAGATAATTATTATTGTAATAACTAACCAAAAAAAAGTTAATGTGCCTCGTGCTTTTTTCCTTCTGAGAGAAACGATTATCTATTAAACTCCTGCTAATATTTAGTAACAATGTCTCAAATTACTCAAAATTAAGTGCAACAATTTAAAGTACCATATCTTACTTAAAGTACCACTGGAATGATTGATTAACATTGATTTTCTGTTGGTGTGGAAACAGTAACCCATTTAGAATTTTCTATTCAATTATTCATTTCTTACTCTTTTTAATCAGTATCAATTATAAAATCCCAAATGTAAAATATCTGAATTAAATTAATTTGTACCATAAATCTTTGTAATTACTTATCTATCTTTTTAATAGCAAGTTTCTACACTTCCGACAAAGTGTATAAGCCTAAAAGAAAATAGCGTAATTAGTTACGGAAATGAATAATGATGTCATGCAGCTCATTACAGAGGGGTTTCAAAAACTTCGTTCTTCATGCAAATTACTCAAATTTATATAAAAGAAATTAATAAAAAATGATTAAATGATATCTTCGAAAGTTTTTTTTTCTCTAGCAGAGTGATTAATTTTGACCCTAGTTGAAGTAGAAATACTTTTAAAGCTCCTAAATTATTTAATTTTTTTTAATCACTTAGAAAAAAATATTTTGATGATATTTATTATATAAGATAAGTGTAGGACTGATGGCCATAGTTTTATCAAATCGAAATAAAAGTACTATGAATAGAGATGCAAAAAATGTTTTATGCATACTTTAAGCTTTCATACATGTACTCAACATATTTTGAACAAAAAATAAACTAATATTGAGAACAAATTTTTTGAAAAAAAAATGAATTAAACTAACAAGTGACTGTCTCTCCCTAATATCGGGGCGATACGGGCATCTAAAACAATAATGGAAAACAGAAGTTAAAATATGGAAAATAACACATTTCATACAGTTAACCATAAAAAACCACGATTATCGACTATCTTTATCTCAACACTGTATCCATGTTTATTATAAGACAACGCGTTTAAACACTGATTTTATAAGTATTTATTAGTGCTAAATTAGCAGACATCAATAATAAGATATCTTATGCAAATATCATGATTAATGATGATTGTAGCATATTAAGTTAAAATCCGATGATTGAATTAAAAGTTATTCCGTATATTACTTTTTTTATTACTTTCTTGTCTTCCATAATATATGTTTTTTTCTTTTTGCATTTTTCGTCCAATTCAAGTCTTATAATGTTGCCCAAAATGTTTTGAAAATAAACTCCGCATCGTTTTCTCAATTTCGTTTATAGAAAATCATTGAAGCTGACGTATCTTACTTAGAACATAGATCCTACTTGCAATTAGCTTATTTGTATTAAGATCCTGTTCAATGTACTGAAAAACGATACCATCTTGTTCAGCAGCTGCGTCTAAGAAAAGGAATTGATTATGAACCCAAGTAAGATGTTCGTAACTTTCTATTAATGATGAATATTATATTAAAAGAAAGTAATTCAATTAAAAAAATTTATGATGACGAACGATGAATTTAATGATGAATATTAATGATGAACTTTCCTTAATGATGAAGTAAATACTTTGACTGTTTATAAGTTTCTCTTTGTTTTATTTCATTTTTCTTGTAATTTTTAATTAAAAGTATATAATCTAAAAACAAAAATTTTATAAGATAAAATATCCACTTTGTATGCATCGATGATTTTAGAAATTTAAAGTGAAAAAAAGTTTTTCAAACAAAAGCTTATTTTTTATAAATGGATGCCTAATACCCAAATATTCATAAACACGGGGACACAAACTGTAAAAAACACGTATGGCCTGTTACGCAAAGGATGCATACATATGTCAGTAAAATCGAAACATCGTTTTGAGATAACTATATGTGGAAAAATACTTTTTTCTTCATTTTTGCTTTAATGTAAAAAAAATAATAAGTTTGGTAGAAAAAAGAAAAATAATCTTTACACTTTTAAATTCCAACTTTCTTTTTGTACATAACTCAAAGCTTTTTTAATAATAATGCGCGTTTAGATTTAATTTTCTAACAGATTATCACCAAATCCTAAAATTAATCGAAAAGTTTGATTTATACATTTATCTCAGATACATGAGAATTTAATTAGTAAATTAAGAATTAAGGTACAGTAAGATCTGGAATGTAATCGATCCGCTTTACATAAAGAAACTAAGCAACAAAGTTTTCATACTAATGCAAAGAACTAATTAAATTCTCGAGTCATGGGAAATACATTCGATTCTGACAGCTTTACTTGGAGTACCAAGAAATAATGCAGTCGAATCGTCCAATAAAGTTAGCTCACATTTGTAACCTAAGGCTTTTAAAAGTTTACGGCGTATCTGGAAATCAGTTGCAAAACTTTTCGCTTTAATAATCTTTATTCGGCTTTGTTTCCTAATTTGAATGAAGCTCAGTGACTGAAATGATATAATTTATTTCATTTTCAATTGATAAAAAAGCTTTGAATTGTTTCAGAATAAATTAGCTTTTCACTGTGTTTTCAGGCAAGTAATACAAACTGAATGAATAAAAATGCGCAATTTAATTGACTTATCCCATATTTACAAAACATAAAGATAATATGATAAATATTGATTAGTTCAACTGTAATGCAAAAATTGTGGTGTAATATCTCTCCGAATATAATATAATAAAACCCAAAAAACTACAGGCCGGGATAGCCTGGTTGGTAGAGCACTGGGCCAATGTCCAAGTGGCCGTGGGTTCGATTCCTGCCGGCCGAAGACTCCCCGTGTAGTAAATGGTGACTGATGCACGTTAAATCTGTCGAGTCTCAAAGTCGCCAATGTTCCCATAACAAATCAAAACTTCTGGGGGTACAGAATTGGAGATTGATCAGGTCAAAATTACGATCTGTGGAGGAATGAATGGATGTATGAATGGGTCAGCTCTATAAGCGGGTGTGACTTATGGGTGAGGCAGAAGCCGAATTCTTGGCCATTGATGGCGCCACTGGAAAAAAAGAACAATCGCACCCCCTCTGCCTCAATGGCATACGTCAACATCAACAACCCAACGAACTATGTGAAGGAACACTTTATTCCAAGGTAACACCAAATCGATCTTTCATATACAATTTAAATGGTGTAATGAAAATATATCTTCTATTAATGGGAAAAGCTTACACCAAGATCTAGCGCATTCACACCATACATGAATTATTTTTGTTACCAAAAACTCCCATGTTTACGCACGTTGGATATCATCATTAATTTTTTTTTTTTTACAATCGACGTTTGTTGTAAGAGTTACAGTTATTGTCTTTCACGATGTTATACATTTACAGAAACAAAAGTATCCCGTTAAAATATGTATGTATGCTTTTGCTTGTTTAATAAGGAAAGTTACATTTTAATTTTTAAATCTCTGTGATCTTTATCAAATGGTTTATAATGCATAATTTCTATCATTTTTTAATCTCTTAAGCCTAGCTCAAATTTGTTTTAATATTCTCTCTGTATTATGTCTATAATTGATTTACTAACTAGTTTTATTTCAAGAATTGGGGTGCGTGCATCTTAAACTAAGTACTTTAAATGATATTGTAAAAATAACTTCACTGACTCTAATGTGTATCATATTTTACTGTTATCATAATTTTTTGTGTTGTTTTATAAAAAAATCGTGTGCAGCTACTTTGCACCCAGAAGTGTAAAAGAATATTCTTGGAGACAGGTTCACTAAAACTGGTGTAGTGAAACAACAAGAAGCCAGAGTTATCCATAGTGTTTCACTAGACTGCTTTGGTTTAAAGTAGTTACCACAATTTTTCGTGTTAAGATAAACGAATTATTTTTCACTGTAGTTTATTGAAATCACATTATTAAAAATGGTGAACTTATTGTTTAATTAAACTGAAAAAAAAAATCCGATTCATAAAATCGAGTTGGCAGGCGTGGCTGAGCAGAAAAATATACAAAGGAGAAGTTCAGCTCTTAGATTACGTAACTAATGCGGAGAATTGCTCAGTTCGGTATGTTATACTATAAAAACAATTACAAGGTGAGCAACATACTCAGATTTAACATATCATTATATGTACTAAAATTCGGCGCATAAGAAGCAATGACTGTGGGGAGGTGTGCCACTTGTGAACCGGTTGTTAGGCAACTCTACTTGCATGGTTGGGTACGCTACCACTCGCACAACCATTTTATTCTTTCTTTCTTTGTCGAAATGTGTTAGCAGATTTAATCAGCATGGATGATATGAATGTATTCTCAAAAGAATACCTTTATTAACAGTGCAGCACAGTTTATCAATAGTGTAAAAATGCAGAACAAACCAATAATAAGTAAAAAGAGAACATTTTTCTTCTTATCCCAACCCCAGTAATGGTAGGGAGGAGAGGAGGGTGGAAATCCGTTTCAAAAACTTCTGCTGCCTGCCCTTAAATATCGTTTTTTCTTTTATACACATGAATGGCACTAAATCTTGAGGGACTGGCTTACATTATGCCTACGGAAGCTAGACATCTTCCCCTACGTATATTCTTTGGCTGAGCCATATAAAAAGCATTAACAGAAATAAGGGTTTGAGGAAATTCTTAGCGTCAAAAAACAAGAAATGTTATATCCGTGTCTTTAAATGGAGTTTAAAAAGAATATCAGAGAATAATAGATTTTAATAATTAAGCAGCAAAACTTCCTTTCTACAGCAACTCTTCGTTATTTATAGTAATTCTAAATTTATCTCTTACGCACAAGTACTTTTCTATGCAAGTCATAATTTCATATAAATATAATGATGCGTGAAGGAGTTAAATTGTTGTGGCTAATTAATGTTCCTAGTGAAACATTTCAGTGTTTTCCGGGTGATTAATTATTTTCAACATCAAAATAACGGCAACCAACTACTACAATTAATGAAATAAATGAAATTATACCGAATGGTTCATTTATTTCGAATTTTAGTTTCATTCGATTTAGTTCACTTATTTTCTGAAGTACAAGATTTCAAATATTCGCTATATGAATTAGACAACTTATTATCTTTTACTTGAAACTTTGAAGTTACTTAAAAACCTTTTCAAGCATAATGATTGTTGACTTAAGCAGAGTCTTACTTATTTATTCTTAATTTCAATATTATGGAAAGTGATTTTATCAGGATTAAATTAATTTGCATAAATCTTTTTGTTGTAGGTCATCATATTTTTAACATAAAAAAGGTGAAATTTTTTCTAGATCTTAATCCATAATAGCACAAAAATATTAATAAAATATATCCCTCTTACTGCTACAATAATAGACAAATTTATTTTTTTTTTTTTATAAATAAATTATTTTCTTACATATCTTGTTAGGCCAGTTTTATCTGACTACATAAGGCAAACTTTCAATATTTTGTTCTGTTCGAGTATCTGTACTAAAGAAGAGCATCCTTCTTACATCTCGCATACAAAATTTCCCGAGGTGTGTAATAACACCAATTTTCTTATTGATAATGCGTTACATCGCCCGATAAAATAATGACTTGTAAAATAAGGCATAAAAAATTCCTAATCATATCCCCTTTTGCTTAATTATTACCTGCAACATAAATATTACTGATAGGAAAACTTAGCAGCTATATATATATAAGNATATATATATATATATATATATGTACCTTAGTGATTCAAATAGTTAACATAATCAAATTAACTGCACTAAGTCGTTGTAGAAATTTATTTCTACAACGACTGACACTGATACATTATCACTAAATGGGAAAATACAAGCGACGCTCTCACCAGCATTACAACTAACAGCTCAATTTGTTGCATTCAATGATCGTTTAATTTTTTCAATTGTTTTTGTTGTTCCTTTGAATAGTTGTTATTTTTTTATTCAAATTGTTTAGTTTCACACTGATAGGTTATCACTAAAAGGGAAAATACAAGCGTCGCTCTTACCAGCATTACAACTAACAGCTAAATTTTTAGCATTCAGTGAGCATTTAATTTTTTTCTAATTGTTTTTGTAGTTTCGCTTGAAAACTTTTTTGTTTTAAACTGAGCAAGATAAAAATTGATAAACTATTGTTTTAAAAGCGATAAAAAAATTGTAATTTAAGAATTATTGTAAAAAACTTTAAAATACAATTGACAACATTTATTTTAAATAATAAATTTTGTAATAAAAAGTGGGATTTATGAAGACACTATAGTTTTTTTTTTTTTTTCAAATTGCTTTTATAAGAAACAAAATAAGATTTTAAGACAGTGCCAAAATTAACAATGTGCGATTTAAAGTGATAAACAACATTGTTTTTAAAATTATTATCGTGATAAACAGGGTTAGAATAAAACAGGCAAACATTTAAAAAGTACTCCAACAAAATAAATCGCTTACTCAATTTACTTTAAGGTCTCATATTTAATTAAGTTCTTCAATTTAATTCAACATTTATTCCCA